GATACCGCCATAGTCCTTACCCTTGCCATCTTGACCCTTGAAGAGTTTGTACTCGGGGGCTACCGAACCCGGCGTCCAGAATCCCTTGGGCGTGCAGTAACAATCAAGGTAAGGTCCAATGCCTGTAGACCCAGATGGGCTACCGAGAAGATTCGTTCCGTCAAGAGTGAGCTTTACAATGGCGCCGCCCTTCTTCTGAACGGCCGCATATAGTCGGTCGTTCGAAATCACCAACTGTGTATCGGTCTCGGTCGCATTGAGAGCCGCAGCTACCAATTGAGGTGCCTGAAGCAACGAAACAAGAAAAGCTGCCGAAAGCTTGCGGAACTTCATAGTCAAGGCTGCAATGGGTGTAAGTGGCAGAAGCTATCGATCAACAACTCCAGAGTGATCAATGCGACCTCAACTCTCTTTATAACTACAGAAGTCACCCTTGACCCCACAAACAACCCCCAACAACATTGTGGGGGATGAAGCTTTCATGAGAAGGTAAGGGTAGCTTGGTCATGTATTTCCCCATGGGGACGTTGTCAATCACATCTTTTTTCAGGCTAAGACCGACTGTTAGCAAATTATTCGGGAGAAATAAAAGCCCCTTGCTCTCGGGTTTCGGGCCAAAGATCAGCGAGTATCAGGGGAAAGCTAGCTTCACGCAGGCAAATGACCTTGTAAACCTGGTCAACACCATGGCGATTCTCTAAAGGTTGACAGTTCGTGACGTTTATTACCCCGCAAATCAGCCCGAATTGGGCACATTTCCGAAATGCGGAGGGAGATGACATCCTGGTGATTCCACGACGGTATTGGAGCTGGGGCCTCCCCCAACGACGGTCTTAGCATTGGACGGTTGGTATCATGAGGCAGTTGAATAAGATTAATTCGCCAAGCACCGAGGGCTGTGCTCTAGTAGTGTCTTGGTATTGTAAATATGCCTCTTGTAATCCAAAAATTGCTCCTTGACAGCTCACTGACTCTAACTGTATAACCACTAACTCTGCACAATTTTGCGGTTTAATCTTCGTCGTCGTCGTCAGGGTCGACTCGCGGTCGTTTGGATTGTCTGTTGTCTTCATCCTGCAATCCATAACCTCGCTTAGATGATGAGTTCTGATCCACCTCAGATAGAAACTTGTCAACGTTGAAAGGATCTCCAGCATCCTTCTCAAACTGAACTGGTCCTTCTCGTGCCTGTGTTGAGTTCATTAGCAAAGTTTTAGACGGCGTCCTGTAATAATGGAAACTGACCTCGGCGTCTGCGGCACCTTTGAAAGTTCCCTTGCCAAGGGCTTCACCAAAACGACTGCTCTTCTGGATCTTGGCCATTTCCCGGTCACCCGCTTCGCCATCGTCATCATCATCCACATTCACTCGTGGCCGGTAAATACTGTTGATGGCGTCCTGGGCAGCGAAGAGAGGCTTGTCGTAAGGGTTGTCCTCGTTAATACCACTGTCGAATCCGCTTGTTTGGTTGAAAAGTCTCGAGTCATACATCGTCTCCTTTGATTGTGTAGGTTTGGCCAGGCCTAGAGCAATCTTCTCAGATATATCTCTGCCTTGTTCACGGGCCATAACTTGAGCTCGGCGTTCAGCACCCATGCGGTTTTGTCGTAGCTTTCGCTCTTCCTCCCTCTGTTTCTCTTGCCGTGCTTTGACACGCTCTCTGACTTCTTCATCCTCACTGTCAGAGCGATCTGACTCGGAGTAACTGTAGCTTCGCGATCGTGACCTCGAGTCCCTCGAGTCCCCAGAGTCACGAGAATCTCGACGCCCACGACCAGCAGCAGCCCGTTCTGCTCGAGCCTTTTGGGCCAATTCTCGAAGGGTATCCTCTTTTTGTGCCTTTTCCTTCTCCGCCAGGCGCTGTTGCATCATGGCACGTTTCTGAACATCATCACGAGCATGACGCTCGGATATCTTCAGGGTTTCGGCAAACCGAGCATGCTTGTCGCTAATGACTACATCCTGTAAACCTCGTCCATCTGCAGCCAGGCGCTTATCCAGCGGTACTGTGAACCCCTTGGGGTTCTTCCAGTTCGAAATTGGGGGAGGAATCCTCCACATTTCTTGGTCTTCAGCGGTAAGCTTTCGTGGTGGTGAGTGCATGACTGGTGGGGGCGGCGAAGGTGGTCCTCGAGGGATCTTTTTATGCTTGAACTTTGGTGGTTCCATGGGATCTCTTTGGCGCTCGACAATTTTCATGATGCGGTCCTGCTTCTTGGAGTTGTCGCCCATCTGGTTTGCCGGTGTATATCGAACAAAAGTAGCATCCTTTCGTTGCCCAATATTAACATTTTTCGGTTTCTGGGCTGCGACCGCTCCCGAGACCAATGCAGCTAATGCGTTCTTCGTCCTCTCTGTTGTTGCCTCTACAGACTCCTTATCGGGTCGCGAAAGATCGATCTCGCCCGCGTCGGCGCGTTGTCGAAGAGGGATCAACTCCTTGAAAGAAGTGTGAACGATACGATTTTCGCTGTGTCCTTGTCGCGCGATGGCATCGTATTTGACCTTGCCTTCGGAATCAACTTGAATTGCCAACGCGTTGCTAGAATTTCCTCCTTTCTTTCCCATCTCTAACGGATACTGAGCGATCGGAATTTCGGGAAAAGCACCTCCATCGCCAAAGTCCTCCTGCGATCGTGGACGCCATCCTGAGCGCTGGCCATATGCTGGAGGACCAGATCGCTTGAGGACCAGCTGGGTTTCGTCAAGTTGTCCGGGGCCAACAATTCGAACACCGCGTTGTTGCGCTCGCGCCGGGGGTTCTTCATCTTCGCCTGTGTATTTTGGCTTGGGCAGCGCAGCCTGAAGCGACCCGGCGATTGATGCCATTTTGTGTTTGTGAGAATGAAGTTGTTTGGATCATTCATCAGTCGCGAGGCTCCAAGGTTTAGAATTTCAAGAGGCGAGGCTCTTAAAAAGGTTTAGCGCCTGGAGTAGGTAGCTTCCTGCTACGCCAAGATTCGATGGTGCATCAATCAACCTTGAAAAGCAATATTTAAATCCGATAGAAGAGTGACAATACGCAAAATTACTTGATTTGCAGAGTTACGAAGCGTATAACTCATACTCGAAGACCAAATCGAGTCTCTGGGACTGAAGCTTAAAGCAGCTCACGGTAGAGTAACGTAATTGGTCGTTGAAGCTTTGCAATAGGCACCTACCTAGGCACCTGGAACCACGTGAAAAACCTCCTCTGCCTGTGCAATTCAAGTGCTCAGGTATTACCTGAACTGTGATTTACCTCCAATTCACTAGGGACCTTAGCAATTCTATTTTTAATTAATTGTGTTGTATCTTTATTATATGTAAGTCTAATAAACATAGAGATATCTTTGCTATTGTTAGGAGGATTGTCGTTGGGCTAGAGAAGATCCAGGGGTAAAGGTCCTGTACTGAAAAGCATGGAGCTACCTGGAGCCATGCCCCAGAAACGTCATAGCTCATTGGTTGGGCGACTACTGGCCAGGTATTACCTCAAGTGCGTGAAGCTGATCAGGAGATTTGGACGTTGACAATAGCGGAAATCAGAAGAGCACTCCAATTCACATGGAAAACATCGGATATTCATAAATGTAAAGTACGACAGCTTCATGCCATTTCATTAACTGCCAGGCCAAGCAAAAGCGTGTCATGACAACTATCATATCAGTATCGCAAATCTGTAAAGTCAACCCAAATACCAGACTCTTTAAGACGGTTCCAGCGCTCTGCGTCCGCTGATTATACGTAACACTTCCGATATCCATCTCCTTTTGATTCCGCGCCTCGTAACACCCAGTTCCGTTGTAGTATGTGATACAGCGATTTCCTTATACGTAGCCCTTGCGCGCACCCTGATTAGGTATATAGTTAGCCAGTATTCCGCGAACATTCATACACACAAGTAGGACTTACCTGGAAAAAGAATCGAACAACAAACACCTGTAGGGCACCCATGCAGATAATCAGACCGATCTGGATCATGCTGAAGTTGATGATTCGGCCCTCAGTGCTGTTGACGGTGGCAAAGTTGCGGTTTTCGCGAGTTCGGAAGTACTTCTGGTTTCGGGAAATGGTCGACAGCTGGCCAGAGACCTTGAAGATAGAGTCCTCGAGGATCGAAGTCTGTTCGGGGGTTGTGCCCTGCTTGGAAGGTAGTTGGGCGCGGGACTCGTTCTCGACGGCAATCTCGAAATCGACAAACTTCTCGGCGAAGGTGCTCATCTCGTTATCGAAGCAGAAAGAGTAGTCACCGACAACATTGGCAGAGAAGACAAAGTCGCCCTGTCGCTCCTTTTGACCATCCATGATGATCTTGCCATTGGGACCCTCGACGACGTAGTCGACATCAAAGGAACCACCAGATTGGACCTGTAGTTCATGTTAAACTCCATATTCGGTGAATGACCTTGCATTGGAGGAGGCTCACGGCAAAGTAGAATGCGATCTTCTCTCCCTGCTTTTTCGTGGTGGTATGGAAACAGGCCTTCTCGTTAGCGTCGAGCTTGTATGTCAAAGCAGTAGCAGCGACATTGGTAACCAGGCCGGCGAAAAGCCCAGCGACAAGTGTTGATAGTCTCATTGTTGCGGCGTTGTATAGGATCTTGTCGCGTGTTCAAGACTGGAAGCTGTCGCTAAAGTGGACATGTGTCAGAGCCAACGACCCCTGTTCCTGCTTGTCTTCAGATCACGTGATTGCATTGTTCAGGAGGTACTTGTATCAGATTACCTTACTGGTAGCGAGCCGCTGGCTAAGGTATACCTCAGCATTGGTTGTCTATATGTTGGATCTTTTGTAATGATATAGCTATCTCTAGCTTGACAGTTATTAGGTAACTGCTCTTTTTATTTCCTCGCCAGCTATCTGAAGCCTTTTTTCTGTCAACCACTGTTTTCCCCCACCACTTCTGCTCTTAACTCACGCTTCCCTTAGCAGCTATCTTCTTTATATCTTTCAAACCCCCCGCCTCTGTTTCCTTTGTGTAACCTCTTTGTCTATTCTCTTTCAGGCGTGAGCTATCTCATGCCTTGAGAATCCTGACTACCTCCGCAACGATGGCATCTCCTGCTTCAGCGGTGCCTGTGCTGCCGCCCATATCCTTGGTTCTTAGCCCGGCGTCGATGGCAGCGCGAACCGCGTCCTCAACGACTTGAGCTTCGTGGGGAAGATTCAGAGAGTACCGCAACATCATAGCCACGGAAAGGATGGTGCCAATGGGATTCTAGATACGATGTCAGCTCTGTACTTGCAGCAAGTGAATAGGAACCGTCCGAAACAGTGTTTTAACGTACGACAATCCCCTTTCCTGAAATGTCCGGCGCGCTGCCTGTTATCTGAGTTAGCGACTGATATCTCGACGGGCTTGAGTGGAGGATGGGAGTCTTACCGTGAATAGGCTCATAGATAGAAAGGACTTTGGAGCCCACTTCCGGAACTCCGCAGAGACTCGCGCTCGGGAGCAGACCAATGCTGCCAGTGATGGCGCTCGCCTCGTCGCTCAAAATATCTCCTAAAATCTTATTAGCTAAACCGCCTACGAGGTGGTCGAGGGGCCTTGCTCACCTGCCAAGTTTGGCGCTATCATAACGCCATTGAGCTGCTTCGGGTTCTTGACCATGATCATGGCCGCGCTGTCAATGAGCTGATGCTCAACCTTCAGATCAGGGAACTCGTTTTTGTAAACCTCGTCAACCACAGAACGCCAAAGCCTGCTCGTGGCCAACACATTTGCCTTATCTAGCGAGATGACCCGTGAGTCTCCCCTGGTCTTGGCTAGGTAGCCGCCCAGCCGTGCGATACGCTCGATTTCTGGCTTCGTATAAACAGTAGTGTCGAACGCATTGACTCCATCGTACTCTTTCCGCTCTCCGAAATACAGGCCTGAGGTTAATTCCCGGACTAGCATCATGTCGACGCCACGGCAAACATCTGCCTTTAGAGGGGAGGTCTCGACAAGGGCGTCGGACGCGAAGAAACAGGGACGGAGGTTTCCATAGGCGCACATCTCGCTGCGTAGCTTCAGAAGGCCCTGCTCTGGGCGAACGGTTCCAGTGCCCCATTCAGGGCCGCCAATGGCACCAAGGAGCACAGCGTCGGAGGCTTTGGCAGCGGCGAGGGCCTCGTCTGTAAGAGGGGAGCCGGTCTTGTCGATAGAGCACTGGGAGAAACGCAGAGGTCAGCAAAAGACTTCTCTCATGGGTGTTTTCGGACCCGTGTGATCCGTCATCCGGGGACTTACTCCTCCAAGCAGCAGGTGATTCAAATTGAATTTGCCAGCAGTCGGGCTGTTGTCCTCAACGGCCTTGATAACCTAAATTCTGCGTCAGGTATGCCCAATCGCAGGTCGAAATACTAGACTCATACTTTAATTGCTTCGGCAATAACCTGCAAAATAACCAATGTCAGCCTCTCCGTCTACAGTCAAGAGTGTGAAAGCTCGCGAATAGCCTACCTCTGGGCCACAGTGGTCACCCGCAAAGACAACAATATTGTGTTCCGCCATATTTGCAATACTTATCTGGAGAGACGAATCCGTTTAATGTGACAAAGTACGAGAGTAATTGATTAGAAAAGGAAGTGAGGAAATTGAAGAATGATATATCGCTGAGCTACCCTTACCCTTACCCCCGCTACACAACTGCCGAGATCGGAGAGGGGCATTGAAAGTGTGGCTCTAGCTGTGTAGCACAGGCGGCGGGGTGGAACACCTCTGCCGCGTACCTAGGTGAAAGACCCCTCCTGGGCTCCATTTTAGCAAGCCCAGCTTTCTACCTCAGGCAGAAAAGCCGTTCAGCCACAGTCAAGCCACAAACGAGCGTATGGCCAATACGAGCCAAGGCGATGTTACAGGACAAGGTCATCTAAGACCATGACCTCACCCCCTTGTAAGGTAGTCCTTCATAAACAAAGCTTCAGGTAAAACGGGGCTGTTTTCTTTGATAAATAACTTGCTCCTCATGACGCGTTGAGTTGTTGATATATAAACTTCCAGCTTCTGTTCTTCTTGACTCTCCTTAATTCTACCGCCAATTTTAGAGCTGTCTTGTCTTACACGCCTCGTCTTATCCCAGCTTTCGCGAACTCCCCTGATTGTTTTGGTGTCTCCTTTTAGAGGGACTCGTCATCATGGCTGTTCAAACGAAGGCCGCAAAGCTGTCCTCAGTCGCTCTGAGGATAAGCGCTCTCATATTCTTCAGACTTGTAAGTGGCTTATACTTGACAGCGCGGGAAAAAAAGTGCTGACCATAGACTATAGTTCCCAGTATGCTCAAGCTCAAGAAGCTTTTATCTCACCAACTAACCGAATCCTTCAGGCACATTTTCCTTCCATCGCGTTTGCACTTTTCGCAATCTATGTTCCTTCTTACATTTCGAGTTACTTCGCTCAGCCAGAGATTGGAGTTCTCGAGGATGAAGTCGACGTCACTGTGAAAGAGTCCATAGTCACCTCCGAAACTCCCTTGTTAACACAGGACGGTGTCGCAGTCGCACCTGAGCCTGAGGTTGCTACGGAGGTTGTCGACATTCAGGAGAAGCTTACGGTTGGAGAGAAAGTTCCTAGCATCGCGAACATCCTCTTATCTGGAGCTCCCAGTGCTAGGCGCCCAATTGCGTCGTTCTTGACCTTCCTCATCAACGCTACTCTTATCGGCTTGACAGCTGATGCTTTATTTCGTGCAAGGTGGTATTATCCTTCTGATGATCTTTCTTTTGTTAGACTTGGATATGTGTCACCATCGGAGGCGAGGTTCGTCATTCGTGAGCCCGATCAGTCGCAAATGCCCATCACATTCGAATACCACATTAAGGATGATGAGCCGACCTATGACACTAAGATTTGGCTCACTGCAGGCTACATCGCTTCGACTGACAACAGCACCGATTTTACTACAACTCTCACAGTGCCTCTTGACTCGGCGAAGCAGAATATTTACGAGTGGAGGACTTCCAACAACCACACCGGCGAGTTCCGCTCTGCTCCCAAGGTTGGAGAGATGCCTAACACCAAGGATGGCCTTTTTACCTTCCTCTCAACGTCTTGCATTCTTCCTCGATTTCCCTACAACCCCATGGAACATGCTTTGGCTATCCCTGGTCTGAGGAATCTTGCAGGTTTAATTCCCCAGTTGGATCCTCAGTTCATGCTCTTTCTTGGCGACTTCATCTATGTTGACGTCCCTGAACGTTTTGGGAAAACAATTGAAGAGTATCGCATGCAATACCGCCAAATCTACGCTTCACCTGACTGGGCCCCTGTTGCACAGAATCTGAGCTGGATCCATGTACTCGATGACCATGAGATTTCCAACGATTGGTCTTCAAACACGACTGGCATCTATAGCGCGGCTGTTGACCCTTGGCACATCTACCAAGCCAATGTTAATCCACCGATTTCCGAAGCTGCAGGTCCTCTCAACCTGAGACGCAATGCCACATGGTACGAGTTCACCCAGGGACCAGCCAGCTTCTTTATGATGGATACTCGCAGCTATCGTTCTAGCAACAATGCCCCATTCAATGCCACAGACAAGACTATGCTAGGCAAGGAGCAACTGGCTGACCTTCTGGCATGGTTGGAGCGTCCTGTTCCCCAAGGGGTTCGCTGGAAGTTCATTGCTTCTTCCGTTCCTTTCACTAAGAATTGGCCTATAAATGTGAAGGACACCTGGGGTGGTTTCCTTGCTGAGAGAAAGAAAGTCCTTGAAGCCATGTGGGATTCTGGTGCTCGAGGCGCCAGTGTCGTTATCCTCTCTGGAGATCGTCATGAATTCGCAGCAACCAAATTTCCACCCCCAGCTGACTCGCGATGGCCACAATCTGCTACTGCTCACGAGTTTTCGACTAGTCCGTTGAACCAATTCGCTTCTCCATTCCCAACATACAAGCAGACAGATGATGATATTATGATGAAGTAAGTTTATGCTCCATTGAATAAGGCATAATCGCTAACAAATATCAAGCTATATCCCTGGAGGCAAGTCCAAGTTTGGATCCTTTTCTATTGAGAAACTTGAGAACGGCGGGAGCTCACTGCACTACACTCTTTACATCGACGGAAAGGAAACCTGGAAGACAACAGTGGAAGCTCCGGATGCGCCTGAAGCAGTTCCTGTTGAGACAGTCCTTACCCCACCATCACTGTGGGACAAGCTCAGCAAGTTCTTTTAGATGGTAGCTCTTTACACAAGAGGTGGGACCAATATTCAGTATTTGGAAAATATAGCACTATTTAACACCACTCTTTTCACCTTGAAATCCTTACTCAACACCAAGCCGGGATGTAAATAATTCCATAGAGTAATACCTGCTATTCAATCATTACACTCTGCTTGTACTCCATACAGGGACCTCTTAGATACGGCCCCACTAACATCGGCCCCACTATCCATCCACAGATGGCACAGAAGCTTAGCTCACCGCCCAGGCCCACCCCTCCACTGGCCAGAAAATTTCCCCGGCAAAATTCTCAAAAGTTTGACGTCCAATTCAGATTCGCAACGATTTGCTCTGGAAGCATTAGATATCCCAGCTTCATCAACTCGACGCAAACATTTCACTATGGCGGGACCTGGAAACAACAAGAAGAGACAGAACGATGGTCGTCTACAAAGGCCCACAAAGAAGCAAAGGAGAAAGCAACTCCGAGATTACAACAGTGACTCTGAATCTGAGGAGGCGCAAGAGTTTGACGCTGTAAATCTGCTCGATTCCGACGACGATATTCACAATGTCAAGGTGGATGATGTTGGCGACTCCGAAAATGAACGTTCCAGCTCAGAAGACGAGGAAGCTGTGCCGAATAAGCCCCCGAAGAAGACAAAAACAAACGCCAAGAATGCCAGAGACAGCAAACCAGAAGCCGAATCCGATGAAGAGGAAGACGATGATGACGACGAAGGGTCAGAGGATGACGATGAGGATGGCAATTCCACAAACAAACGCAAAAAGTCGAAGCGAAACGACCCCAATGCTTTCGCAACATCGCTCTCCAAGATTCTCTCTACCAAGCTATCATCGTCCAAGCGATCGGATCCTGTCCTCGCCCGAAGTGCCGCAGCACACGAAGCCTCCAAGGCCGCTGTTGACAGCGCCCTAGAATCTAAGGCGAAAAAGCAGATGCGCGAGCAGAAGAAGCGAGCTTTCGAGAAGGGCCGTGTGAAGGATGTTCTTATCGCAACCACAAGCGACGCCACTGGAGAGCTCGAGACATCAACATCGGAGATTATGGTGACGGAGAGGAGACTACGAAAGGTTGCGCAGCGTGGTGTTGTCAAGCTGTTCAACGCCGTTCGTGCCGCACAAGTCAAGGCCGTTGAAGCTGAGAAGGGTGTGAAAAAGGAGGGTGTTATCGGTATGAAGAAGCGGGAGGAGAAGGTCAATGAGATGAGTAAGAAGGGATTCTTGGAATTGATCGCCTCAGGAGGCGGTGGGTTGAAAAAGGGAGCGCTCGAGGAGGCGTAATATCATTTCAGTGTGTTTATTTATTTATTTATTTCGTTTAAGAGGAGTAGTGGAATCATCAGGCCGTGCTCTTCCGGCTGTACAACTAAATGTCACAAAGATACCCCATATGATGCACCTGAATCCCCGCCATCGTCCGATCTTTCCAAAATACAGTAGTTTTACAAGTACAGAGTTTTCCTCATCTCATATCAAAACATGTGCTTCATTAAGCTTCTTAACTGAAATCGCTCGCTTGCAGGTTTCTCGTCATTGATGGCAGCTTCACCACTAGGCCGTCTAGCTCCTTGGTCATCCTGACTTGGCAACCCAATCGACTCGTCTCGGTGAGTCCAAAGGCCAGGTCCAGCATATCGTTCTCGTCATCCTCGGGCTCGGGCATCTTGTCGAAATATGCGTCGTCAGCAACGATAACATGGCATGTCGAGCAGGCGCAAGATCCCCCGCATGCGCCCTCCATCTCTAGATCGTTTGCTTGGGCGATATCGAGAAGGTTATCTCCCTCAGAAACAGCGAACTTGTTCTCTGTGCCGTCCTTCTCGATGAATGTGACATATAATCTAAGCAATGTTAATCAAATGCCTCCCAAGTGGGGTTTTAGGTTCTACATACTCTTCACCGGGCTTTGGGGGGTCAATATGTCCATGTCGCCGTTGTGTCGTGGTAGTAAATGCTCTATGGGAAACAGGCGAGAAGCGAGTAAATCGAGAGATTGTAGAAGATCGACCCTTGGATGTGCGAGACAGTACATTCTGACCAAGTCGGATTGGCTGTATTGTTCGAGGTGCCGTAGCCGGGAGCTTGGCCAAGCAAGTCGCAAACGATCGTGACGCAGACATAGTTTCGGCGAATTCGGGATATTGGCGGGGTTCTTGTCGAAAATTAATGGAAGAATTGAGGGGCTCGAACGATATATATTCAATGACAAGCTGTACAGTCCTTTAGTTGAAGAGGGAAAGTGTTGAGAGGCTCTAGATGCGCCAATTTCGGTCAATGGACGCTTATGCCCCCGTCTCGTCCTCTCACGTCCAAGATGATATT